TTGGGCGGGACCGCGGGCGTGCGGTGTGGAGCATGCGCAATGGGACGGGAGTGGCCTTAGTGGGACAGGGCCGCAGGGTGGGGGAGGGGAGCCGGGGCCTAATTCCTAAGCGCTGGGCCGGGGCCTTGTCCCCCCCCCCGAGCCCAGCGCCGACCTCCGGCCCCTCCCCTCCCGTCCTCCCCCCCTCAACCCTCCCCCTGTCCCCCCCATTGCTCCACTGAGCCCCCCCCCCCGGCCATCCCCCCCCACCTGCGGTTGCCAACCCGCCCGGGGGGGGCCTGGAGTCGCCAGGAATTAACGCTTGTGTCGTGTGGTGACAGCTCCAGGAATAAAACAACCACAGCCAGCGCCCCCCTTAGTGCCCCCCGCCCCCTCCAGCCGCCCCCCGCAGCCCAGGGACTTGCCCTGCCCCAGCCCCGAGCCCCGGTCTGCCCCCAAGCCCCGGGCAGCTCGGAGCAGCGGGCCCCGCCCAGCCGTGCCCCCCAGCTCCACCCCAACGGGCACCACCACAGTTGCCAACTTTCACGCGGTAAATAAGCCCCCGACTGTCACAATTAGCCAGAACTCAAGCGAATCCCATTTCAAAACGAGCCAGGCCCTGAGAACCCCAACGCTCTGTGACTAGATCCCCCGGCCTGCAGTCTGGGACTGGGGTGGGCCCGCTGTGCGCCCCTGACGCTCCCCCCCCTTGCCCCTGCTTGCTGGGAGCAGATCAAACAAAAGAACAACAAGCTACAAGCCAGAAACTAGCCAACAAGCAACTCACAAGCCAATTAAGCCAAAAACGAGCCCCATTTCTGTGTTTTTTTCTGTGGGTTTGGCATGTTTGGACACAACAGCCCCACACTGGAAGCAGGTGGTGCCCCCCCAGCGTGCCCGGGACATGCTGCGCCGCGTGTCCATCTCCACCAGAGAGCAGCACGAGCAAAACGTGCTGACCCACCCGGCAGAGGGTTTGGAGGGGACAGAAGGTCGTGGGTAAAACCAGGATTTCATGGGAGCTGTTTATTGTTATCACTGATAATTTTGAGGCTCCCAAAAGCAGATGAGAGACAAGGTGGGTGAGGGAATATCGTTTATTGGACCAACGTCTGTGAAAGAGGAAGAGCTCTGTACGCTCAAAAGCCTATATCTTTCATCAACAGACGTTGGTCCAATAAACGATACTACCTCACCCACCTTGTTTCTCTAATAGCCTGGGACTTACTCGGCTACATCAACACTGCAGGAAACGCTGAGGAAGGTATGATCCTGCGCCAAGAATCTCAACCAATTAAAACTCTCAGAAAAATGTGCAGTGGCCAAATGCTGCTTTGACAAGGAGACCCCCTGAGCTGTGTCTCCCCTCCCGCAGCGCAGGAAACTTTCTTCTGAACCTGTTTGGAAGCGTACAGATGCTGAAAGCAGGAGAGGCAGATGGCTTGTGGAACAGAACAGAAGACGTGTAGGATGCAGCATAGCCTCCACTGCTTACAGCTCCATCCCCAACGGATTTTATTTCAGCAGAGGCTGGAGTGTTTACTTTTGTTACTCAGATTCCAGGATGGTGACTGGTGTAGTGTGAAACCCAGCAGGTAGATAGTGATTCAGAGATGCAGACTGATTCCTTGTGCTCTCTTCCAAGGCTGACTTTCCAACGCAGCCACAAACCAGTAACAACAGTTGATCTTGTCACTCTTAAAAGCACCTGTGGGGTCCAGCAGCCTCGGTGTTGGTCATTAATACCGTCTCGAGCTTGTCAGATCGCAAGCAAAGCACTGCTGGGTCTCTAGTTAGATCTTCAGGGTACCCCAAGCTGCTGCAGGACGAGGTGTCACTGATTCCCTTTGAGCCAGGATTGACCAGAGTGTCATAGGGTGGTGCTGTGGGGCACTTCGCTGCTGTCTTTCAGCTAACCTGGCCCCAAAAGGGGAATGCTCGTTAAACATATAGCATTAGCCCTGTTCTTACTAAATTCCATTTCAGGCAATCGTATTTTGATCAACTGAAATTCCCCCTGGCATTTCAACTGCCTACAGTAGAACCTCAGAGTTACAAACACCAGATTATGAACTGACCAGTCACCCGCACACTTTAATTGGAGCTGGAAACACAGACTCAGGCAGCAGCAAAGACAAAAAAATATATACAGGACAGTACTGTGTTCAATGTGAACTACTAAAACATATAGGGCAAGTTTTAAAAAGGAAGATTTGACAAGGGAAGGAAACTGTTTCTGGGCTTGTTTCATTTAAATTAAGATGGTCAAAAGCAGCATTTTTCTTCTGCATTGTAAAGTTTCAAAGCTGAATTAAGTCAATGTTCAACTGTAAACATTTGAAAGAACAGCCATAACGTTTGGTTCAGAGTTACGAATATTCCAGAGTTACGAACAACCGCCATTCCCGAGGCATTTGTAACTTGAGTTTCTACTGTAAATCACTCCACTTCCTGTCCTAAACGGTGGCGTAGCATTGCTGGCACATTCCACTCCAGAGGTAGCTGTGTGAGTGGTGGGTGACTTGATTGCTACATACGTGCGCCGTTGAAATATCGCAAAGAGCAGCTTTCTGAGCGCTTTGCCAGTGACTCATGACACCCTGGACAACACATCTCACCCAGCAGCCAGTCTGCTCGAGCTGTGACACCAGAAACACTCCTTATAAACTGTAATTACAGTCAGCGCAAACAGACTCTACTGCCCTCCAAACTGCAGCGTGGCATTGCTGAAAACAACTCATTGGGCGGGATTTTATGACCAGCAGAGGCTTATGCTGGGTTGGTCATTCCACCAATTAATCCAGCACCCTCTGTCTGTGGCTGTTGGGGTGAATCTATCACCTTGGGCTCGTAAGAATCTGCTAAGCCCCGATCACTTGTCAGCCGGAATTAGTTGTCTCAGATCAAATCCTTTCCCCAAACCTTGTGTGGATGGGCCTGTTGTTGCTGAACGCAATTCAAAAATAGAAGCACCTAATCCTGTGTCCAGGTCCTTCTAATCCAGGGGCTAAGAGGCTGGATCTCAGCAGTCTGTACTAGCTTCAGTTATCAAAAGATGACGTATAGCTTTCCCGTTGGCCCGTGGTAGCCAAACCCCCCATTCCCAGACTGGTTGGGAAGTGTCTCCCCACAGTGCAGCCACCATTTGGAGTAAAACCGGATGGAGTTTAATTGTGGGTTCTTCTTCTTTGCAACTGAACTTCACATCCAGCTCCTGGTGTTTTATTTTTTGAAAAATACACTCACAATTAAAATCAAGTAATAGAAACAAAAACCATACAGATCCTCTGGGGAGCAGTTACATTGGAGGAAACTGACTGACACCCCCTCGCCGCCCAGCGCTCCTGGAGCCATTTGGGGCTATTGCATTGTATGTATTGCACTGAGGTTTGTTGAACCTGGAGTTCATCAGTCCCTCACACATCTCTGGAGCCCTCAGCTTTCCTGATGTTGCTGTTTTACTCTGGTAGGAATTCACTGGGAGAATATTTTGCTACTGGAGTCAGTGGCTGTGCTGCCACCTTGTGGCACCTGTGAGCAATGACGTTATTTAGGGATTGCATCATCCTTGGTAGTTCTATTCATTTTTATAAATCATAGAATCATAGATTTGAAGGTCAAAAGGGACCATTGTGGTCATCTAGTCTGACCCACTTCTCCAACTGGCGTCGACACATGTCCACCCTAGAGGTGCTCCACAGCTAA